AAGACACCCAGCCTCCATGTATGAATAACATTCTGCCAGCAGGTTAAAGAGTATTTTTTTTTATGGCTTTGAATACAATTTTTCACCAAATCTCCTTCAGACTTTTCAAGTCTCCACTGCTAAAAGAAGGTAAGTTCAAGAAGATAATTAAAAAGGGTAATTAAGCAGTAATAGATCACACGTTCTCATATTTTGCTTGCATGATATATGGGCAATATGCATAAATAAGTGTCACAGATCTAACTATAACATTTCAACATCAAGAGCAGTATAATCTGTTCCATGGAGCATGGTAAAATAAAACTGATCATTTTAATGAAGCTCACATGATGCTGTTCAAAAGAGATAAGGGACATTAACCAAAAAGTGCAATCCATCTACGGCTAAAGTTTAAAATCTCTTAACATACAAGAGTAACCATATTTTTGTTCAGAGCTGATTGGGTATATCTGAATTATGAGGCCTGGGGTGATGTAATGGTCTATAAAAAAATCAAGGTTAAGCAAATAATAGCACAGTAAATAAAATTACATCACACTTAACCAGGCAGATCTATAATACAGCTAGAGCTAAATGAAACTTCTAAAATAGGTGCAATAAATATACTACAGCATTCAAAGCCTTTGTGTGGTACCTATCAAACATTCATTATTTTGTTGGCAGTCTTCCAATAGCTATTTTCTCACACATACTTAATAAGACATGTATCTAGTTCACAGCATCAAAAATGTTTACATTGTCATAAAATAATGCTGTCTGAAGTCATAACCACTTCATACTTTATTAGAGTGTAATCAAGGCAAACTACATTTGTTGAAAAACATAATGAGCTCCATTCACCCATGGTGGTGGTGAAGTGTTTGTGCATGTGTGTGTGTAAGCAAATTGCACCCCCTGCATCCCAAAAGGAGAGGGCAGACAATGTTTGTACCAACACATTCTCTCAGTGTTCTGTAGAGCACCTGTGACGTGATCAGGGCTCTAGAAAAGGCCTTAAACAATCGCACTCCATCGATGCATCCCTCGCTGCCCTGATCATGCTGCTTTCTCAGAATTGTCTTCCTTCCACCTTAGTATGATGTAATATGCTCTGCATCCATCCAGCTCCACAGGTCCCAGATAATGTATGGTTTTAAAGAACATAACTAACAACTTGAATTGCATCCAAAAGCAAAAGAAAACCCAGAGGAGAATATACAACAGCTGTGTATTGTGCTCTTGGGTACCCAATTCACTACACAGGATGACATTTAAATTTGCACAAACTAAAGCTTCCAAGTGGTCTTCCAAGGTTCCTGGCCAATGGGAGCCCCGAAGCCAGCGCTTTGGAAGGAGGCAGCATGCAGAGCTGCCTGGCCACACCTCCACCTAGCAGCTGAGTGAGGGGGATGTCGCTACTTCTGGGGAGCCCCCCAGGTAAGTGCCGCCCAGAGCCCGCCTCACCCCGTCCCATGCCCCAACCCCCTGCCCCCTCCCACACCCAAACTCTGTTGCTGAGGGGGAGCACGGGGGGCGCAAGACTGCCCCAGCAGTGGCTGGTATGCCCGGCACAGGGGCTGCCTGAGCTTCCCCTGAGCTAGGCGCACCAGCTGCTGCAGAAGTCACAGAGGTCATGGAAAATCACGGAATCCATGACTTCCGTGACCAACTTGCATCCCTAGCAATGAGATATGAAATTCAGCTTCTCATATATGTCTTACCTCTTCCAGGTCTGACAAAGCCTTAACGAATTTTCATACATTTATTTGCAAGATGTCCTATACTACTAAACTTCTTCATAAAATCTTCTAATGGAGACAATTATTTTATTTTTCTTATATTGTTGTTGAATGCAAGTTCTGACTCAAGATATTAGACACTAGACTTAATGGCCTTTTCTCGTAGAGATCAAATGAGGCTCACAAAAAAGAGACTTACACTAAACTACACTAGAAACATTGTTTATGTCATTCATCAAGCTCAAATGACAGATCACAATCGCAGTATAACTGCTCTATCAATGGACACAAAACATGCATTCAGTGAAAGAAATCACCTTTGGTAAATATCAAATTGAAATTTTCAGACTCAAATGGGTACATTTCAGAAAGTTACAAGCTGACTGTGATCAGCTGTTGTCCATATCCACTGAAGGCAGTTATGAGGGATGTACCTATCCTCAGCATCTCCCTACAGGAGGTCCCATAATCCTACTATATCCTGCCCCAGGAAACAGTGAAGTAACAGGAAAGGAGCAGTGAAAGTGTGTCCTTCTGGCCTGCCTACAGAGATCTCATGGAACCAACCCATCAGAGCCAAGCAGAATCAGATAAAAGAAGCTGCAGGGCCTTAGCAGGTCAATTCCTGGCTGGGACAAAGGGCAAGGAAGGATGGTCCTCTCTGGCCACAGGGGCTTGAGGAGTAGCCAGAGTTTATTTTTCTGTCTCCATTTGCTTAAGCTGGGTTTTCAGGGACAGAGGATCTAAGAGCCTTAACCCTTATCTAGGGGTGAAGTTAAAAGGAGCCAGGTAGGAAGAGACTCAGGGAAGAAACAGTAACAAACTGAAATTGAGCCGTGCATACTATTTGCAGAACTGGGACAGGCAGGTCTAGGCCCACCCAAGACTAAAGGCCTCCCCCCTCAACCACTAAGCCCAGGCTGCAGTTAAGTACTAGGGACAACAAAGGAAAAAACAGGAACAGGAATGAGGGCAAAGGTTGAAAACCAGGAAACCAGAAGGGGATGCTGAGCAGAGAAACCCAGACTGCACCCACCATTCCTCAATGGTGTCTTAAGGACTCAGTGGACACTGTCCAGAGGAACTCTGCCCGGAAATGTGATTGAACAAGGGAATGGAAATAGGCCCCACAGTTGCAGAGTACCTCCCCTACCCGTCCAGCTTCCTCCTCCTGGAGTGATGGATGGCCATCTTGGCCAGTACCAGGAGAAGGTGGACAAGGAGGTCCCAGAACTTTGTGGGGCCATACATGGGGAGAGTAAGAATTAGGAGGTTGGGGAAAATTGCAGCCAGAACCTCAGTAAAAATTTCTGGAGGAGCCAGAAGAGGGGCTGCAGCCTGATGCACTTTCTGTACATGTGCGCTAGGGTCTCCCTCTTGCTGCAAAAGGGACAGTTTTCAGGGAGTTCATGAACCGCACCAACTACATGCCCTTGCTCATGGCTCCAAGGAGGAGCTATCAACTAATAACCCCAGCAGGCTGTGGAATCAGAATAGAATACATATTGGCCCACCAGGGTTCCTCAGCCTCTGCAGGTTGCAACAAGTCCCACCACTTGGTGTTGGGATGGGACAAAACCATGAAGAAATGGATTGTATGAGAAGCATGAGCATGTACAGATGTTTTCAGGGCATGGTGTGGAGGCACACCAACTGGATGTCATTCAGCCAGCTCAGGTGGCATGTGCGAGCTTGGCCAGGGAGGCTCACAGGGCAGAAGCCTGATGTTGAGTTCCAGAGGGCCAGAGATGAGAGGTGGGAAGTGAGCTCTCCTGCAGGACCTGCACAAGGAAAATGAGAGAAGTAGGAGGCAAGGAGCACACGACAGGGGATGTGCACGGTGGCAGCCCCATGAACTGACCAAGCACTGTGGGGCCAAGAGGTCTCTGAGTCTGGTGATAATAGCCAGTGTCATCACTGAGTGCACCAACGGGGATTCACTACCTTCACACGAAGATGGGGGTGGTGTAGCTGGGGTTCTTGAGGAGATTCTCCCCCTCAGATGCCACTACAGACCTGGTTGCTGAAATGAGCTTCCAGGTCCTGAGGAGGTCCTGGTAAAGATCGGCAGCTCAGAGAGGTCTCAGGAGAGACCTCTCGCATGGAGAAAAAAGAGCTACCTGTTGTATCGGAGCCCTTAGAGGCAGTGGAGGAAGGCGAACAACAGCATGCTCCATGCTGGACTACATGTACTGTAATGGAGTTTCTGCAGGGCCTGAAGGTGGAAGGTGTGGACCTGGCTGCAGATGCAGATCAGGCCTTGTCCACCCTCCCCCATGGGAAGGATCAGTACACCTGCAGAGACCCGGTGCAGCCCCAGCCAGAAAAATTCCAGGATCTTCTTCTGGAGGCTGGCCAGGTTCCTGGGGGTGAGGTCAAGGTGTTGAACTGGTGCCAGAGCATGGATGGGACAAGCTGGTTGATCATCAGCACCCTTCGCTGAAGGGAAATCAAGCAGTGCATAGCTGCTGTTTATAATGGGCCCAGGTTCCCCTACCATCCACAGGTAAACTGGTGTAAAACCCAAGATGGGGACAGACCTTATTTTGGAGCCCAAACAAAGAGCCAAATTGAAAGGACCCAGAGCTGAGGCTGAAGACCCTAGCAAGGGCAAACAGACTGTTAGTTACTGGATTCTTTAATACCCCTTAATGCCAAGCCACTGAAGACCCACCAAGGTTTACAGGCAGCCTGTCGTGAGCACTTGGGGCAAGAAAAGAACTGCAGTACCACAGCCAGTCACTAGCAGGTGTTCTAGAGATGAGTGACCTCCATTACAGTAGGACAAGAAGTAATGGGCTTAATCTGCAGAAAGGGAGACTTAGGTTAGATATTAGGAAAAACTTTCTCACTATAAAAGTAGTTAAGCTCTGGAAGAGGTTTCCAAGGGAGGTGCATTTTTGTAGGTTTTTAAGAACAGGTTGGACAAACATCTGTCAGGGATGGTGTAGGTTTACTTTGTCCTGCTTCAGCATAGGGGGCTGGACTTGATGACTTCTCAAGGTCCCTTCCAGCCCTATATGAGTCTGTGTTAATTAAGGGGTGAGCTATAATGAAGACTACTTTGCGAATATAACTATAGTGGTCATTACCAGCACAAATGGTTTAGTACACGTTAGTAAATTAATTGGTACATTCTACAGTAGTAATTGGTAACAAAATATTTCATTAGGGAGAAAAAGTTTATTTTATTACTGCTTTTTATATATAGCATAAAACACAGGTGGACAGATAGATGAATAACCATCTAATGACTTACATTTTAACTGTTATTGATAGATCTCAGTTGTGGCTTAGACTGTTCAGATCAACCTCTCCAAATACATATTCAATGCTCTTCAGTGCATGTTCCTTATTAGATGAGCCATGAACTGCATTACACAAAATATCTTGTGCAAATTGAGCTCTAAGAGAATCAGGAGAAGATTTTTTTGCCACGTCTGGATCTGTTGGACCCATTAATTGCCTCCACTCCTCCACAGCATTTTCTTTAGTTAGGATCATTATCACTGATGGACCCCTGTAACATCAAGATATATAAATATCATATGTATTACTAGAGCTTTGCAACTATAGAACATACATTAACACTAAACTCTTTACTGAATAGTTAGCAAAATTTAACTCCTGGGGAAAAAGTGTTCCTTATTTATTTCAGGAAGAGAGTATGTCTGGCTTTAGAGATGGGTGAAAATTAGTTCTGAGGGTGAGGGGATAGATACCGTCAAAAGTCTCCAAAGTATAATGTGATAGGTTTAACAAAACGGTCACATTTCCCTCATATACCCCTCTGGGTCTGCATTTGAAAGCCACCTGGAGAAAAGATTGGGGATGCAGAAAGAGTGAAGATAGAGAAGTGGTTTTCTATTGGAAGAGGCACATATTTAAAATGAAATTTGGATTAATACCCTTTGAACAGAAAAAGTCTCGTTTATTGTTTATCCAAGTGGAAAACAATGGCCTTAAACAATTCATTCCTTAACAACTTCAGCGTTTAGACGGTTAGCCTATTTTCCCAATCTTCGTCGTTTGCAAAAAAAAAAAAAAAAAGGGTGGGGAGACATAAGTAGTTGTCCAGGATTTTCTTTTTTTGAGGAACAAATCCAAAAAGGTGGTCATCATAATTCAGTTCAGTGTAGTTCACAGGTTCTGTAAGCAAAACCCACTGCCTAATAAAGGAAAGACACTGTATTCTAAAAAGGTCATAAATATTTAAAGTTCTTTTTATAAAAATTCTAAAAATCCCCTACATTTGACACAGAAAATGACAAAAGTGCAGAATTCCAAGAGTCTTCCGATGTTCAACAAAAATGTTTTGCCTGCTCTATAAATTCAGAGTTATAACTGCTACATTTACATAGCACAATACTGTAAAATCAGACACTTACTCAGACATATAATTCACTAACTGGTCAAAAAAGGGTTTTCCTTCATGAGCCTTATAAAACTGTGTTGCCATTTCATGGGTGAAATTTGTTTCTTTCATCTGTGATACAATAAAGCCAGCATTTGTAACCTTCTGCATAATGTCATCTAGGAGAAAAAAAATACATTGGTCTTAATTTTTAACATTATTTTAAACACATGTAGAAATGATAACCTTGAAAAATCCCAGAAATTGCTAGATTTGTTTTCTGGCAAATTTATGTAATTATGTCTATTAACATGCTATTTATAATACAGAACAATCAGGAGTGAGACCTTGAACATAAAAAGTGACATAAAACGTATGAATTACTATTAAAAATTAAAAAAAAATCATCCTATTATCTCTCATTGGATAGTTGGAATGTGACATCACACACCAGCTGGCCTGGTAAGATCAAACTGCATAGTTCCAAGAAGGGAAAAGTGAGATTCACAGAAACGAATGGGGACATATAAAAATCAAAATAACCACTAGAGCTGTTACTATAAAACAGAGAATGTTTCTAATAATGGGGGGTCTAGATGAAGAGGTAAAAACAATGGCAGTAGCAAGTTTAGGAAGACAACTCCATTTTTTCATTCTATGACTAAAAGAGGTTTTATCTTTCTAGGTCTACACTACCCGCCTGAATCGGCGGGTAGAAATCGACCTCTCGGGGATCGATTTATCGCGCCCCGTTGGGACGCGACAATCGATCCCCGAATCGACGCTCTTACTCCACCAGCGAAGGTGGGAGTAAGAGCCGTCGACGGGAAGCCGCGGAGGTCGATTTTGCCACCGTCCTTACAGCGGGGTAAGTCGGCTGCGATACGTCGAATTCAGCTACGCTATTCGCGTAGCTGAATTTGCGTATCTTAAATCGACCCCCCCCGTAGTGAAGATACAGCTTCCTCTTTCTTTCTATATATCTCATAGTAAAACATTAATTCATCAGCACCTCCGTGGCCTGTGAGAGGAAGGAACCATAGGCAATTTCGCTAATGAAATGTCAGTAGTGGGGCGGCAGCAAGAATTACTTCATGCCTATAAGGTTTTTAAATGTTGAAAATGCATTTAGGAAAGACAAAGAATTGATCTGCTATCACTTATTGCAAATTTTATATTGCTAATATTTTGTAGGAATGAGGTCCACAGTTATTTTGTAATGAGATCCACAGGCTTGGTATGCATGTTCTAGAATGTTTACCTTTATGTTCCTTAACAGCAGTGGGTTTGATAACTGCCAAAGTGTGTTCCACAGGAAAGAAGAATTCTAGTTCCTTCTCAGCTTCACCAGGTGAAGCACTGCCATGCAGCTGATTGAGAGGTACACTGTCTACTGCATACTCTGAACGTAAACTAACAATTATTAAAACAACAAGGTAGTTCAGTGACATGACATTTTCATGCATAAGTATCAGAATCCCTATGAATCTCCTAAATTAATGTTAATTCTGAGGGTCGAGATGGTGGATGCTGGAGACACAAAGGATACTTACAAACCTTTTGAAATGAATAGATATATTCTTAACTTATCATTTTGGCTTTCAGTGGGATTTGTGAGCCTAAGTCACTTAAGTGCTTTTGAAAATTCCATTCTTGCCTGCTGCCACCAGTGAATGTTCAACTACTTCAGAATGTTCCTGTGTCCTGTTTATCTATGTGATACTAATGCTATGTCTAGATTATGAACTAGGGATTTGATTTTCTGCTCATGTACACATACTTGGACTAGTTCTCATCAAGCTAGCATAAATATAAATAGCAGCATAGCATGGGTAGCATAGCAGAGCCATGCCAAGTACAAACCCTCCTGAAACTGGTGAGTATGTATTTGGCACAGCTCAGCCATGCCTCTGCTGCTACTACCCATGTTACTACAGCTACGCTGCTATTTATACTCGTGCTAGCTTGAGGAGAACTAGTGTGAATATGTGAACACAAACAGGGAATTGCACCCCTAACTTGTAGCACAGATGTAACCTAAGACACTGGACTTGGAAGGTTAATTGCACTTTTACCTACTTTTAGCTATAAATAATCCTTAGTGCAATTTTTAAACTATTCACTAATTCCCATTATGAATACTAATAATAGGTCTTACTAAATGATAAACAGTACCACTGCTATAGATGACAGACCCTGTGAGTGAATGTCTTAATAACACAACAGTTACTGAAAACAAGGTTACAAACACTATCTTAAGTACCTAACATAATTATTGATGAGATATTTACAAGAAATTATTAGATCAGAAAAGGAAATTGAGCCATAAATAAAACACTATACTTACACAAAGGCACCCAAATTTCATTTAGCTAAGACATAGGACACTTTTCAAAGAGGAGAATAAGTAGAACAGAAAACAATTTCAAGCAGATATATCATCCAGAGTAATATATAATCAATTAACAGTTGAAAATAGAAAATAATTAGCTGTCAGCTGTGTCAATCACAGAAATAAATCAAACTGATCATTATGACTCAAGGAGATCCCTCTCTTCTCTTCAAAATCTTGCAAACAATGTTCTTTTTTAATTTGAACTTTCAGCTATGTTTACTAGCCATGTGTTTCAGAGTAGCAGCCGTGTTAGTCTGTATCCGCAAAAAGAACAGGAGTATTGTGGCACCTTAGAGACTAACAAATGTATTAGAGCATAAGCTTTCGTGGGCTACAACCCACTTCTTCGGATGCATATAGAGTGAAACATATATTCACCGCAGAACTGTATCATGTTCGTGGGTCTGGAGGGACAAAAAGGAGAGGCCCCGAGATAGGACAGACTCTTCTGCTGGGCTAAGAGTATAGCTGGAAAGATTAACAATATTGCTGGGTGGGTTAAGGGAACTACTGTTGTGGCTCCTTGTGGCATGTAGCAGTTTAGATAGTTTAGTGTCCTTTTTCCTTTGTAGAGAGGCAAAGTTTGTCTTGTAAATGGCTTGTCTAGTTTCACTCTATATGCATCCGAAGAAGTGGGTTGTAGCCCACGAAAGCTTATGCTCTAATAAATTTGTTAGTCTCTAAGGTGCCACAAGTAGCCATGTGTTGTTTTTTATAAATCCAGTTGACGCTGTATGTGCTATACTATATAATCAAGAAAATCATAAAAACGTTCAGAAACATATATCACTTTTCAGATGACAGCATTATAGTTACATTGGTTACAATGTGGTCTAAATTTATATGTAGATTATGGATGTATATTGCAGATTCTGAATCATGTATAGCTATTACAAATACTACCTGGCTGGACTTTTCTCCTTAGCCTCTTCAAGAGTCTTTGGGCCTAGTAAATCTCTCCAGTGTTGTACAGCATTTTCTCGTATTAAAGCAAGTGCAAGGGTTGGACCACTGTTAAATGAGATGACTAGTATTAAAAAAGCAATTGAAAAATACCCCTAAAATATCTCAAAATAATTTGATTAAATTCAGTGTAGCCAGGGAAAAGGTGCCTTGATATTGGAGAGATTTAAAATCCAATATACATTTAAAAAGCTGAAGTTCCGGTGAATTTTTTATATTTTTGGGCAGGGGTGGGGGGTATTGGGTGAAGGTAATTTAAATGAAGAAACTACTGAACAGTGCCATTAGATGCAGGGGATGTCATCAACTTATATATCAGGGGTGAAATCTTGGCCTCATTGAAGTCAATTGGAGTTTTGCCATTAACTTCTATGGAGCCAGGATTTTCCCCCAGATCACCAGACCAGGATCATAGAGAATGTTGTGAAGATGTTGGGGAGAAGCGTCTTGGACAAACTCTTTAGAAATTGTATTTGTTTCTGCCTGAAATGACTGTTGTCACTTTGCTTGAGGGAAAATTTTCACTGCAGTGACAGCCACACTCACTTACCATACTCTGTTGACAACAGAGGAGGATGAGTGATATTTGTCAGATGTTTGGGGGGGAAATAAAAGTGAGTAGAGGAGGGTTAATGTGCTGAATTACAACAATCATTATTGTTGTTTTTATATACTGTTCATAAAAACACTTTTGATTTTTCAAATACTGTTTTTGCCATGACTTACTTTCTTGGGATCTAATTATTCCCCAGAGATATAGTGAAATTCAGAAACCTAACTATTCTTAAAGTCTGGAGATAGTCAGCTACAGTGGGTGGGGCCATTCCTTGAGTGAATTCTATCACTAGGTAGCTAGCTTCTGGATAGTATGTCTGATGTACCTGTGAATGTTCTTATTATCCATAAAACTCATTTCACTCATACTGAACTCCTGGACTCAATTGTATCTTGTGGCAATGAGTTATACAGGTTAATTATGCATTGTGAAAAATATTGCTTCCATTTGTAAGTTCAAACTTGTTGCCTTTCAATTAATGTACCTTGTCATGTGTTCTAGAAGGGTTGGGAAAAAATCTTCATTTTCATGTTCCTTGTAAAACTGACGTGCTTGTTCTTCTGTCAGAACAATTTCTCTCTGCATTGCTATTGTAAAGCCATCATCCTTAATCCTTTTCAGAATAGAATCTACATAAAAAACATTGAAATAGTGCTGCATTGTCATAATTTAGTTCATTTTATATTTGTTATATTTCCATATTATAGTTTTTCCAGTCATTTCATTATAAAGTTTTCCAAAAGAGTTAACTTGTTCATTTTGGAATATGAAAACTATAATTCGTAACAACTGCTATAGGGGTCCAATAATCATTGCTTGGATGCTCAGCGAGAAGTTTTTTGCCTTTTTAAAATCAAGGAAGGAAGGAATGTCAGAGAAGTCACATTTAATTTGATTTAGCTCTCTGTCTTTGAAGGTTCTGAAGATGTCACTGACTAATATATAGGAAAGGTAGACTGCTTATGTATATGTAGCATGCAATTACACTTTCTTAAAAACCCTTCTACACACATTCCTTCTCGAGAGCAAAACCTAACCAACAAGCAGCATGACCCAATTCATCATGAGGTCATCAAAGTCATGAGTTTGAAGAATGTGGATTTAGGTACCTAACTTTAGACATTAAAGTTTGATAGCTGCTGCTAACTAGCTGTTTTTTTTTTAAAGCAAATAATATGTTGAAATCATGGATTTCGCAATTATAACTGATTTTCACTTACTGTTGTTTGTTTTTCACTGAACCTCTTTTTTTTACCTGCAGCTGTTTTGGTGAATGGCAGAGATGGTAGGGCACAGCGTAGTTCAAAGTACGCCTGATAACACTGCCCTGGATCAGAATGATTGTTCACTGCTACAGTATTAAAAGTCATCCTTATCGGAGAGACACTCATATTGGGTTTCAAATTCTCAAATACCACTGGCTGATAATATGTCCATAAGTAAGTTACAAATATCACTTATAGAAACTTTATCCAGTCAAATGAGCGTTAGTCACTTGGAGTTTCAATGAGTTTGTTGATGGAAATACAAATGTTAATATTATAGCACTGATCATTCCAGCTGACCTCCACTCCATCAGAAAATCACAAAAATACTCAGAATACATTGGGAAAAATTGGGTTGGGACTGTGGATCTGCCAAGTCAATAAACTTGAGGAACTATAATTCAGTGTCAAGTACCCATATTTTCCACTCAAGAAACGTCAATACAGATTCTCATTCTGAAATATTAATGAGCATTACAGCCCCCACAACAGACAGCCCAGAAGTTCTAATAGAAGGCATAATTATGACTGCGTTCTGTGACTGGTCTTGCAAGTAAGCACTATTTGACATGAGCAAAGGTGGCAGAATCAGGCCCTATATAAGGACGGCAAAACTGCTTACCCAGTTGCATGAGAACTAGATGTCAAATCAAGAAGGTAATGCCATGTAAATGTCAGAAGAGTGCTCGAAGTAGTACTCTTTCAAATCTATGTAACAGACATTATACAAGCTAGCCAGAGAAGCTGCCTTGGACCTGGCAGAGAATGCTCAACCACTCAAAGACAGTGATACTAGCTAAACTGTTTTAGCAGAAAGCATTACTCATTTAAATATATTTTAAATGCAATTAGACTCTCTTACTGATTTTTCTAGAAACCACAATTTTATCCCAGAAAGGGGATCTATAGAGGCAATTTTTGAAGAACTGATCTAGGAAATAAAATGATATTCACACAAAAGTATGTAAAGACAGAATAGAATGAACAAATTGTATTTTTCTGATATACAGTTCTGTCAACTTAATGCTGAGCACAGAAAATAATTTGAAGACAGCATGGTCTAGTGTGTAGAACACTGGACTGGAGGCCTGGATTCTGTTCCTGACTCTACTTCTGGCCTGCTGGGTGACCCGGGACAAAATCAGTTCAGCTCTCTCAGTTTCTCCATCTGCCAAATGGGGATAATTATATTGACCTACTTTGCAAAGCACTTTGACATTTATTGGAGAAAAGCGCTATATAAAAACTAGGTATTATTTATTAAAAGATACCAGGATTTTTGAAATCCAAAATATAAGGCCTTCTTTGTGTACTGCAGGTGAAAAATGTAGTTATGATCACTTACTTCGTCTTTCCTTTAATAAAGAAGGTCTAATTAAGGCCAATGTTTTTTCAGCATTTTGGCTGGTCTTCTTTTTACCAAAATCTGGGAAAAAGAAGGCGAGTTGCCTGCTAGCATCTTCTACACTGTCTTCCACATCACATAAATTTAACATATTCTCGGATTCCAAAACTTCTTGCAAGCTAATAAGAGACAAATAATACATCTAAATTAATGTATCCTTTATATTCATTTACTATTTTACACAAATGTATCAATTAATGACTTGCTGAAAAAATGTATTTTAATACTTTAGTAAAATATATAAGAATATAATGCCAGTTACTTTTATTATGATTCTGCATTCCAACAAAAAACAGCAGTTCTAAGGAATGAAGATATTGTCCATTCCTAACAGAGTATTAGTTAATTGCTGTATCATACATAAGTACTTTGAAAGAGAAATCTCAGTCATGCAATGTTTCTACTTGTCTACCTTTGAATAGCCTCTGTGCATTTCACTGAACAAAATTAACACTGACAATGACAGTTTCTAAAGAAGGATTGATGAGGGGATAATGCTTTATACACCTAAAGCATGATCTCTGAAAACACAGCACTATAGAAATTCTTTGAAAAAGAAATACTTTTTATCGTGGCATGTTTATGATTGTGAGGATCACCTATATATGATCACTCTAATATTATCATGTCAGACAAAATTTATCCAGGGAAGGCTACTGCAGCTGTAAATCAAAAAGACAAAAGAATAATGACTGGTTCTTTCTAACAATATCTTTACATTCATGTCAGTACAGGGTCATATAAATAGACTGAATTGGGTCAGTGCACGTACATATGATTAGACTGTGATAGGACTGTGCAGGTTGCACCACCCTTTAGTGTGCCTAGCCCACTCTGCAGGGCAATTTGGGGGGAGGAAGGGGGCAATCTATAGCCCATTGTTGTCCTCTTCCTCAGGAATACACTGATGGGACAGTTCCTGCACTTCCACAAGTGCTGGGACTGCAGTTGTAATGGGCGGTTGTGTGGCCCACACATGGTTAGGGAGACTTGCTTACTTTCTGCATCTGCACAGCTGTGCATATAAGGGCATGTGACAATATGGCTCTCAATATTTTTTTATTATTTCTCATGTAAATTCATAAAACATAAGTGTCATTTGAATTTTTCCAGTTACCTGTTTGGCTTTTCAGGCTGAGGCTTTGCAGGTATACACTCATCTGATCTACCTAGTTCTTTCCATTGAGGAACAGTATCAGTTACTTCCTTTGGTTTAGAAACTATCAGAATATGGGATGGTCCACCAGTCATGAATGTAACAAAATCTTCAAAATCAGGCTAAAAAACACAATTTCTCACCTATATACTACAAAGAGAACTGTTTGATCTTATCACCAGAAATCAAACTATACATGTGCTGTATAACTTGCTCCCATCCCACTACTGTATTTACAATCACCATATAAAATTCTATATGAAATATATTATAAGATCTTGTGATAAATCCATTTTAGTTCAAGTGAGAAAACAGTATTATAAAATATGCCCCAGCCTTTACAGTAAATATAAGATCTTGAGATAACTGAAATGATAGTACTGCATACAACTTGTGTGCCACATGTTCTCCCAACCTAATATACCGATAACTCAGAGATAAGATCAAATGTGATGCTTACAGTATATTGGACTTAGGCACATGATGTAAAGCAACAAAATATACTACATTTCCTGACATGATTTTTAAAGTTCTGTAAATTAGGCAAGTAGTCTATGACTGCATTCCTGATTTTCAGAATATTCTCAGGCACTTACTTCCTTGTCTGTTCTTTTCTCTCCTTTAGTCTTGGCCTTTATCCACACACAGAGATACATTCATGGGAAGCAACCTCCTTCTTCATAACTTGGAGTCACTTTTCCACCAGTGCTGGAATTCTCTTCATTCCCTCTAAGCCCCCCATTTACTTCATTGCAAATCTTTCTTTAAACCCTCTCTTTGTTTTAACATATGATTGAGTCTTTCCCCTGCCAACATCTCCCATCCCTTAACTTACATAATATATTTCTCCTTTCACTAACAGGATAGTAAACAAGAATATTTATTTGTATTTTACTTTTTTTAATGTGTAGTTTTTCTTTTTTCATATTCTGATTAATCTCTATACATTATTTTACCTTTCAGATTTTATGAACATATTGTAAGGACACTCAATTCTACAGTTATTCTTCTCTCGGTGTAAAGCATTTTGGAATATGGTAGTTTGCATGATAGACATATAAAAATAAATTAAATGAAAGTGAATAGAAAAATATATTTGGTACTGTACAATACATAAAGTGTGTCTCTACACTGAAAAGTGATTGCAAAAAAATCTCAGTGATTTCAAGAGTAAATTTGCTCCATCAACAAATAATAAGAAGTTTTATCTAACTGCCAGTCCTACAAACATAGCCTGGTATCTGAAAGTCAAGCTGTGTTCTTTCTGATTGATTCAAAATCCCCATTATAAAGGGCCAAAATGTGCTCTCAACTACACTGCAGCAACTCTATTGTCTTCAAATTCTGTCTTCAGTTGCACTTATGTAATCTCATCATTTTCAATAGGATTTCACAGTTGTAAATGAGGGCACTATTTGGCCTGTAGAATAGACAGAATTCTACATTCTGAAACAGTTTAAGTACACACAGTGTAAATAAGTGCTAATTTTACACACTCATTTTTCAGAGTAAAATCACACTTTGAGAATAACAAGGAAATAACTGATTTCCCACAGTTCACAGCCCCCTCTGAACTAATATATAAATACTCTAAAAACCAACAACGATACATATATATGTATAGCTGTTGCTGTTTAGAGTATTTACCTTATGTTTTTCTGACTATTCCACTGTTGGCTAATGAGTTGGTTGTGTTAGGGAAAATGCCCCTCTATTGCTTCAGTATGTACCAAGGATTGTATGTTATTCCATTGTTATTTAAACGCAATGTTGGAACACCAACAACCATAGGCATTGTACAGGAGCTGGACTGGAAAACCAATCAAAGAAGATTTTATTTTATTTTATTTTCTCTCTGTGTCATAAATAATTTTAATTAACTGGAATCAATTACATTTTATACATGTTTTACAAGCCATACAGATGATATTATTATCAATATAGCCACCTATATTTGTGTAACCTTTTTACCTGTTCTATATTGCGACTGTAGAAATCTCTAACTTGCTCTTCAGTTAATGTCTTCTCCTCTTCTGCCGCAATGCCAAAGCCAGCTTCTGTAATCTTCAATTACAGAGCAGCCACCAGGTTCAGCAGCATTTGAGGGTGACATATAGCAAATCAGCAATATTAGTTTGTTTACATATTTTTGCCATGATTCTAAAAACTGACTGATTTTTGTGCAGAATCTTAAATGAGGTAATATGAAATATCACAAATATAGTAACTTCTTCATTCCGCCCAACTAAATTTCCAGCTTTTCAAAGTACTGCACTGTGTTCAAGTGTGACACCCATTAAAATAAAGAAGCCTTTTGTTACACATTATGTACCTCAATATACAGATTTTATTGAAAATCTCTACTATTTGTAAAACATGTTTTACCATTATTGATTCCAGTAGTGCAAATAAAGCAAAGCTATGGGAAGGCAGCACATAATCATTCCTAATGACTGACAGTAAAATCTTTATTATGCAGCAGTCAGTCATGTACCTGTAAAGTATTTGTACATACCTAGGAGAGACTGGTCTACCGCCATTATAAAGTAGATATTAACTTTTTATTATAGTGTACTCGCTTTTTGGTTTTAGTATGCAGAAATAACATGAGTATCTATTTTTTTTAAATTTCCACTAGCATGGTAGAAATATGTGTACGTGGAGTAGGCATGCATTGATATGATCTATATCACCATGTGTACTCACTGCACAGCATACACTATATGTGTGTATGTCCACAATTCAGCATTTCTGGAACTGAAATGAGCATTCCTCCAGCACTATGTTCTGGAGGCAGAAATGATGTCTCCTTAACCAAATGTTGTGTCTGCCTATGCATCTAAATTGTTACCAGTGTATATCCTGTGACTTTACTTTCTCATAAGCATGAGTTTATGCAGGTCTGCAGACATTCACACACGTATGTAACGGACTGGCTAATTTGAGCTGGTTTATTTGTATGTCTAGAATTTTGAAAGATACTGCTGTGGCAAAGAAAATATTTTCCACACTTGTAAAATCATTTTCTGTGACTCATCTGCCCTGTCCCAGAATTGATGGTTAACTCTCACCCCTACCATCAAATGCAGAAAAAATAAGAAACTGTTGGGAGGTTATGTAAGCAACTTATCACGCTTCAACTGGAATACTTGTGTGACAATCAATGATCTGCATAGTATACTTCAGTACATACCTCTTCTAGTAACATAAAATATGTTAAAGAGCATCAACTTGAAAATCATATTGCTCCAGCCACAATCATTTTACGTTTGTCAGTTTTACAGGATAAATATTAGCAGATCTGGCTGTACAGTTTTGTCCTAAATTAATATCCAATTATACTCCCATTTCCCTATCTTGGAACTTAACCAAACATGATGGTTGGGGTTTTTTAAAAATGTTGTTTACCTTTTGTTTAATTTCTTCTACTCTTCCATCTGCAATGGCATCAGGTTTTATAATTGCAACAGTGTATATGACTCCTTCTATAGGAAAAGGAAGAATACATATGCATATTTATAAATATATTTACTGAAATATATACACAGGCTAATTTACTTTCTGTACTTACAACCTGAGCTCTCCATAGTCTTCCTTTTAATAGATTACTAATTTTGGATTCTGCTCACCAAGACATAGGGTCCTGGGAACCAATAGCAGAAGAGGTTCAAATGTGGATTATAATCCTCTGTACATGAATCACACACTGAGATGCAATTCCTTTTCCCAACTGCTCAGATTTTAATGCTACAACTTTGAAAGCAGAGATAAGGGAGGGTGAGTGTATATATATATGAAGTAGATCCATTAAGAGAAAGGAAAGCTACTTATTTATAAGTGGAGTTCTCCCTGTACATACAGATCTGCCTCAGCAGACTCACATACCTCAGTATTGCAAATCCTGGAATCATTTACAACTATAAATGCTGGGGCAGCACTAACACTTGCTTGTGGAGTTCAACATTCAAAACAAGATTATAAAGGGCTGAGTTTCATTCTGTTATCTGTAAGGGAAAAGACTCTGAAAAAAGCCAGGAAAGAGGGCAGGTAAGTGAGAATCTGCAGAGGAAAGATACTTGCATAACACCATTTAGAGGTAAATAGACTTAAAAAAAAGTAAGTTTTAATTTTATGCTTGAGGTTAACAGCTGACCCACAGTTGGCACTTGGGAAAGTGTCTGACCATTGGACACTTGATCTCCAGCATTGCTATATCATGACATAGTCAATATGGTTCTGCATCATACTTTCAGGTGACTTCCATGCGTATAAACAGCAAGAGAACTATAAAGAGTAATAACATGAATGGTATGTTCACAGTGGTCAGACTTCTTATTAAAAGGTTTTCCCCATGATAAAATATTATAAAAGATGATGATGGCAGAGTCCTCACTGAGGGTGATGATATTAAATGTAGGTGGAGAGATTAATGTGTCAATATGTAGTCTCAGCAGAGAGACTCATAATACAGGATGACAGAAACGGTACAAAGCCGGAGCCAGAGCCATCAATCCTGCAAGAGGAAGTGGTGCATACTATTATGAAAATGAAGACTGTGAAAGCACCAGAGATAGATAACATGCTTGAAGAATTGTTAAAACAATTGGCAAATGTGGTACTGATCTTATGTGGAAAACTTATAATGATGTATGGATGACTAGAAATTGGCTGGAGGACTGAATGTAGGGAATCTTTCTGTCCTTACCAAATAAGGAAGACATAATAGAGTGTAGTAACTATCATATCATCTGACATAGCACACAAGCAAAGTTCTACTCTACATAATCTAGGATCGCATGAAAGGAAGGACAGAAGCAGAACTATCACCCCAACAAGCTGGTTTCAAAGAGGCACAAGTAACCAAATCATGAACATCCATCACATAATTGAAAAATGCATAGAGTACAATCACTCATAGATCACGTGCTTCACTGACGACTCAAAAGCTTTTGATATGGTCTGACATGACTATCTTTTGGAAGATATTAGCAGACAAGAGGATTCCAAAGCATCTTATTGAACTAATTGCAGGTCTCTACCACCACCAATAGATCACGGTGCAAACAGTAGTAGGCAACAGTGAGTGGTTTTCCATTGGGCAGGGTGTTATTTTATCCCCAAGCCTCTTTAACGTATGCACAGAATTTATTATGAGACAAGCCTTGGAAGGTTTTAGCAAAGTGGAGGGGCTAGGATGTGCATTCGTGGACCTCTCTTAATCAACCTCAGATCTCGTGATGACACAACGCTCTTTGCTACATCCACCAATGCAGTGGAAAAAACATTTGGGTCTGCAAAAACAACTAATGAGGAATACAGATTATTCCTGCATACAATGAAAACAAAATGCATGAACGTTAAACACAGCTAATAAAACCAGGATGCAAGAGGGCATCACAATTAACAGACAAGTTGTAGAGGCAGCAGATGAATTTAATTATTTAGGATCATAAATATCCAACCAAGGAGGCTGTTCCAGCGAAACTGGAAGAAAAACTAGGGATGACTTTGAGAAAAACTGTGGCATCTTGAAATGTACAAAGATGCAACTGGTGAAAAGCTTTTTTTTTTCCATAGTGGTTTATGGATGTGAATGGTGGGAAGATAATATCGCTGACAAGAAGAGAACTGAAGCTTTGGAAATGTGGTGCTGGTGAAGATTCTTGTACATCTCTTAGGCATTTGCCTTTTGTCCATGTTAGAAATATTAGTGAAGAGAAGCAGACCCTGATGTCAGAAATCAAGAGATGTAAACTTATGTACTTTGGTCACATTAGGCACAGTGATGTTATGAAAGTTGTTATGGAAGGAATGGTGGAGGGTCTTTATAGTATGGAATGACTAGCAAGGAGAGATGCAAGGATGGTGTGTGGCAGATCACTAAAGGTTACATGCTGAGTGCTCGAAGTTAGCGAGGGAAGAACGTGAAAGCTTCCAAAAATTCTGCTATGTTGTCACGGATATTCAGATATGAATAAATGGATTTACTTAGCCTTCTTTCTTCTTTGAGATTTGCCTTTGCAGAATCCTATTTTGGGGAGAATGACAAGGATTTACAGCCCGAGGAGCTAGGGCTAAGGAGTGATAAATTTAACAGAGATTGAAAAGAACTACCTTCCTGAAACAAGCAACTGCCCTAATTCTTGCATGAAAGCGCTGAAGTCGCATTTCAATAGTGTTGTTTCAATGAAGAAGAGCTGGATAGACGTGCTAAAGGGCTGGAAATACTGTATCACTGTTACCCTGCAAATCGCCTTTTTCCCTGGGCCTGTTTTGCTTTTTGCCGATACTGCAGACCTCCCAGATAGTTGGCCTACAACTGCTTGGATTGTAGATGGTGTCTAATTTGACTTTCCTCCTTTCCTCTTTTAAATCTTGTAAATCCAGGGAGCTGGTAGTTTTACTCATCTCTTAATTTCTCCATTGGGTCACTAGTTCTACCAGGCGATAAAACAAGCCTGTGCTCTAAAATGCATGAGCAGTCATTCTGGCTTGCACTTCTTGTGGTAGGCCAGATGTAAAAGGCCACATGTGAATATCTCAGAAAAAACAATGTAGCTACAGATCTTGCAATTGCTGCACTCATAGCATATTTGCTGACATTTTGTCCTTCACATGTACCACTAACAAAATTAGACTCGGTTCTGTGAGACTCTGGAGAATACTGTATGTGAAAGGCAGGGCCGGCTCTAGGTTTTTTGCCGCCCCAAGCAAAAAAAATTTTGGCTGCCCCCCGTCCCAGCCCTGGGCTCCTCGCCGCACCCCCCTGCCGCCCCAGCCCTGGGATTTTCTCCACCACCCGCACCCCCCTGCCTCCCCAGCCCTGGGCTCTCACCCCCCGACCTGCACCCCCCTGCCGCCCCAGCCCTGGGCTCTCACGCCCCCAACCTGCACCCCCCTGCCGCCCCAGCCCTGGGCTCTCACTCCCCCAACCCCACCCCCCTGCCGTCCCAGCCCTGGGCTCTCCCCAACAAACACACACACACCCTGCCGCCCCAGCTCTGGGTTCCCCCTACCCCCCACCGTTGCCCCCCACACACACCTCCTGCCGCCTCAGCCCTGGGCTC